TCAGGTGCAAGTGCGGGGGTTTTTTGGGATTTGTGTGGATTAACCAACATATTTCCCCCATGTGATAATGTCCAGAGTCAATATTCATGACACCCCCTACTCTGAGCATATGCAGTCTATTTCTCGCCCCAATCCTCCTCTATGGTATGGAAATAGGAGGATGTGGTTTCTAGTCAGCAATTGAGCTCCAGACTGTGTCTGCTTTTGCAGATGAATCATGGCCACTACAGTCGGCATCTCTGGTGTTGCCCCAGATGTGGGGAAATGCCAACTGTAGGGAGGAAGACTGGCCCATCGCCTCTGTCTCTTCAATGTGGCTGTGCCCTGTTGGTAGCACATCTCCCCTGCCTTTTAGTCCTCTTTTCGGTGTTTACAGGATATGGCTTCTCTGGAGGAAAGACAATTGTAGCATATTCTGTTGGCTCCAAAGTCGGATGCTTAGGAGAAGGGGGAGGAAGAGGAGGCCTCCTTGCATTTTGCCCAGACTGGAATTCCAGCACCCCATAATCCACGGTGAAGACAGCCACTGCGGGGGGCTCTGCTTCCTACAAGTTAAGCCAAGAAAAGAAGATGCCATGGGTCTTTTTCTAATGCAGTCTAAATTCTAATCACATTAGCTGCCAATATGCTGCTGGGTCTGAACAGACATTTATTTGTTATTTACTTATTTATTTCATCTATACACCACCTTTCTCCCCAGGTGGGACCCAAGGAAGCTTCCCAGAGATAAAAAAACTAAAAATGTTTCCAATAAAGTTTTAAAAACTTTTTTTAAAAAAAAAATCAGCACATTAAAACACCAGAAAATTATTTTAAAGTCATACAAAAGTTAAAAACAGACAATCTGTTGCTGGGGGTTTGCCACTGCCATCTTCTGAGGCTGTGAGAGTGTGACTTGACCAAGGTTACCCAGTGGGTTTTTATGCTCTGTTCTCCAGAGTCACAGTCCAATGCTCAAACCACTACGCCATGCTGGCTCTCTAACTGCATTAATTCTACAGTAGTCTGACTCTACTCCATCAGAAGAAAGAAGTGAAGAGCACTATCTTCAAAAGCTTACGCTGCCAGTTTCTTTCTCTCTGTTAGTCTCAAAGGTGCTGCAAGATCCCTTTGCATACTAACACGGCTATGGGCCTTATCAAACGCTGGCCAGGAAGCGAAAAATAAGCGAAG